GCGTACAATAGATTTCTGAAAGAAAAGTTGCGGGCCAAAAAAAAACAATTTATTTTATTCTTAACTATGTCAATTTCTCAGCTTATAGGCTATAGGTATAGCTGGGGTCAACCCAATAGTTACATGAGCAATAGTCCAGATAATCTTAGCATGCTGGGATAATAAAAAGAATGCTACATGTGTTAATTATAATCACTAAAACAACACTTTTGACTCACAAACTAATTTCTTTAGCTAAGCTATGTTTTGTTAAAATCACTTCTCTCCCACGAAAACAAATGAAAATATTTATCTTTATGGAGAGTTTTAGCTTCCAAATGAACTTATTGTCGAAGGGAGGAAACCTGGTACATGGACTGTATTGAAAAATGACCATGTTTATGTACGTCCATGGCCAAATTGTTCTTCTCATTGGATAGGTAGATATTAGCAACTTTAGCTACTAGGTTATACGAAGAAGTAAATTTATCCCTCACTAAAATGTTTTGAAAACAAACATTGAGTGGTTTTTGTTGCATGACATTTGCTAATGTATTGTGGGGGGTACTTGGTTATATTTTATATTCTAGAAATTATTACCTAAGAGGCTCAAAACCCACCCAGGCGTCGCCCCAGATTTTATTTTAGAAATCTCACACCATAAAAATCTTCTCTGAATTTTAATAAACCTTTCTAGATGTGAATCACTATACTTAATATGGACATGTGACAAATATTTTGAACTCATATTTTGAGAGAGGTCTATTAGGTTCCTTCTTTGTTTAAATAACCTTTTATTGAGTTGGCATTTATTTTTAATCAAGAGATTGGTTATACCAAGAATATCTTGATCCGTTGGACAATACAATATGTCCCACTCTGCAAGGCAGTATTTTGTTTCTTACATTATTTTCTTAGAAAAATAACCTTTATGGATATAAATCTAGTCTCTTTAGAACAACTTTTGAAATTTACAAAAGAATACATCATAAACATGGTTAATTCAGTAATAACAGTGGACACCATATATATGAAATATGCTTGGCCTTATAAATACTTGGTTTATGTTAAAACTACTAAGTACCAGAAAAGATATAATCTAATTTCACAGCCAAAGAGTTAAGTATATTTGTTATCATGTATGTTTCTAAAGGAGGTAACTGGGTGTGAGAACATAAGTTTGCCTTATATTATTGTGGGTAATTTTAATATGCTCAAAGAAAGAATAGACAAAAGCTCAGCGGAATCAAATTTGATAGAATCTTCAGGAACATCATTAAACAAATACAAGTAAAAAGAGCTAAAGAGACCAGGGCTAAATTTACTTAGACATTGATAGGTTGCTAATTGTTACAGAAGGCATTCACTTCATCCACACCAACAAACATAGCAACATAAATACCAATTCCTACTAAACCAAATGATACCAATTAGAGTAACAGTACATTAGCATAGTAACACTCAAACCCAATAACAGGGGCCAAGGCAGAACACAAGCGTTGTAGTTGCGTGTTTGACTGACATTAGTAGTTTGAAGCGATTAATACTATCCTCACGGAGGGCCATGATAGATTAATTGTTAGAATAGTAAGCTAATTGAAGGAACAAACTAAAGGCATGCCACAGAGAACATGGGAGAAAAAGCAGGGGAAGAAGAATAGATGGAGGAGTGACTCCAGAGGAGGGGGCACCTGGATGTGCGACCACTGTTGGGAGTTCATGACTTGGGTCGTCAGGAGTCAGGGTGAGCAGTAGGCCTGTCACGGAAGCAAGTGCACTCTGTGTGATGCCAGGGCCTACAAAAAATTAGAGCCCCTGATTTGTCTTAAGTCAGTGGTTAGTGATACTACAATTAGCATGACTAGTCTAACTAATCAATAGAAACATCCTTACATGACCGGTTGCTGCACCCTGCAATTCCACAAGGCTACAGCTCCCACACCCATCTATATTTCTCATCTTCTCTTATTCTATAAAAAATGAATGGAATTGAAAATAAGAAAATTGCAAAAAAAGGGAACTAAAAAGGGGAACTCATTAAAATAAAATGGCCATGAAAAAGGGAGGGGATTCAGCGGAACAGGATTGGTCGGGCGGTGGAGTCGTGGAAACACTTGTTGATTCCTATTTTGGACCCTCCATGGAACAATTAGGATATATATATTAATCATCTTATTTTAATTAGGTTCTAATCTAATTAGTGATCTCTATATGAAAACATACTTTATCTTTGAAAATAATTGTCACCAATCAAAATTCTTTTCATACCAATTTAAATCCATGAACATCATATTTTAATACATGTTAGTTTTTATTCTATGCATCTTGAGTAATGAGCATCAAGCAATGACGTGGCATAATCGTTTCAGAAATATGCTTTTAGCAATGACTTTCTTGAACATGGGGCCCCATTTTTAATTTTGCACTGGCCACCGTACCCAAATCTCAAGGACGGCCTTGTTCCTTGTAAACACCCAACCCACCTAGATGAGGATATCACCGGCTCGGATGTGACCATATTCCGTGCTTTTGACCAAAGGTGCAACTATTTTATATTAGATTTACTTTTGATAGATTTGGTGAATTGATATTGTGTGTACATTTTCATTTTCAGAAGTACTTAAATGGAGCGAGAGAATGGTTGATTGCATATATGAAGCATGGATGGTTAATGAAAAATTAATTGGGTACAACGTCACTTTTGGCCCAAGGAAAGAAAGAGATCAAATCCACCATACTTTAGAGGTTGGATTTAGACTTTTTGTGATGGTCCCCACAACTTCATACGAACTTCAATTGGGACGTTCTAGTACTTTATAGAAATCTCTTATCAAGTATATTTTTTTACCAATCTAGACTCATGTCCATATATTAGATTCGTCTGTAATCTTCATTTTAATGTCAAACCCTATTCTGCCCAAGGTGTTGTGTCACCTTATTTTTTGGCCAGATGGCCCATGTATCGAGTTGGGCTCATTAGGGACACGTCTTGGGGTTGAAACATGACCCAACACCGTTGTGATCATCCTCCCATGTAATTGTATGTGTTTAGAGCTGCCACGAATAGATTGACTTTTATTTTAATGCAAATTTAGCTTCCTACTTCCTTGTAGATGTGTGTATCGACCATCCGATCTACTCAATTGATGACACCAACTTTGTGTGTATCAGATCTGAACCTTCATCCAAATTCACAATTTAGTGGTTGTTTCTTCTTTTTAGCTTCTTAGCACACCAAAAGTCAGAAAAGCTTCTCTAAGCGTGTTTTTATCTTTTAGCTTATTTATTTAGAAATTAGTTTTTTAGCTTTTTAAAAGTCAGGCCAACAACTAGGTTCTTTATTTTAGCCAGAAAAAGGCTGAAACAAACATGGCCTTTTCAATCACTTTGCACGTGGGAGGTCCAGCGAGTAAACCTTTACGAGTTGGATTGTTTTAGATAGGGTGTTGTGTTCTAGTTAATTTTTTTTTGCCAGTTTGGTAGGCTCCGACTCCTCCTAAAAGTGCCCTGGCTCTAACTGTTCCTGTGTAGCAGCTTCTCTAGTGGAGTTTAAGATATTTTAGAAAATGTTTGGCAAAAGTGTCTCTAGTGACAATTTTGTTATAATTTGTATCAAGTTGGGGGGAAGACATATTTTCTATTTTTCTGTCTTCAAATCCATAGTTTTCTGACTCCTTTTCTGTTGTCAGGGATTGAAGTCCCAGAACCGTTCCGGCCAGGAATGTTTATTTAAATTGTATGTCATTCCGGACATTAACGACTCCAAACGAACGAGCCCTTAGCCTTCTTGCAACGAGCCGTTTTCTAGATGACTATTTGACAGGACCCTCTTAAGGAGCCATGGGAAGAAGGAGCCGGACAGAGTCTTTTATCTTTTGCTTTTGTGATATAACCTGCGTGCCAATGCAGTATGGGTTCTGGCAAGGCTCGTCATAGTTGGTGCTCCAGTGTTGAGCTAGTAATCCAGTCTCTTATCTTTATGATAACCTGTGTGCCAATTCGCTGAGCCTATAGGCCCCATTCGGCTTACCCTATATTCGACTTGTTCGGATTCTTTTTTTCAGACGGAACAGTATTTTTCTCTCACAACAATTCAGCCAGAACAGTGTTTTTCAGCCAGTTTCAGCCAAAATTCTACCAGCCAAACAGGTTAGAATAGGGGAGAGCCTTGCCAGAATCATAGGCTCAGCGAATTGGTTAGTGCTAAGCTGGTAATCCTAGGCTTCCCAGCAGGAGGTGCGTCAATGTTAAGCTGGTAGTCCCAGCAGGAAGTGTTGGCCTGCAAGAACTTGTTCTTGGCTCTTACAAAAGCAGAGTTTAACTTTTCCAAGAAAAAAAGAGTTAACTAAGTATATAAAATCCTCTCGCCAAATCTTTAGACCTGATATATATTAGTTTAAAACACCGAGCAATATTAATAATTTTAGGCCTGTTCGGCTTGTATTAAAGCCGACAGATAAGTCGGCTGAAGCTGTTTTATTGTGAGAGAAAAATATTATAGATTCTAGTTGATAAGCCGGCTGATAAGTTCAAGCGAACATGCCCTTTATACTTAGTACCAAATCTACTAATTTACACAGTTTCTTACATTATCGAGCGTGAATTGATACACAGCACCTCTATAGCAAGCTTACAATACCTACAACAACCCAAGTACACCACACCAGAGGCCTTGTTTGGATGCATGCACCATAATCCACATGTGTTAGAATAAAGTGGAATAGAATAGAATTTAGTTAAATTCCATTTTAATTCACTCCAACGTTGGAGACCAGAAGTGTTTTTCTTTTTCTCGAAGTCCGAAACAAACAAGAAGAAAGGGCGCTATAGCTCCTGAAAGCCCCTGCCATTACCCTTACGCCGTTCTAAAAAGAGGGAATGGAGGGCCTCACCACCAAACACTACACACATCCAAACTCTTCGCTTTACACTAGGCACAACACAAGTATGTACGCGTGCACGCCGCCGGCTGCCACATGCACAGTACACAGTCGATGGCGCGCGCGCGCCTCCCTCAGAACTCAGAAGAAACACGAGTCGAGGTAGCCGAACGCCCGGCGGCGGCGGAACTCGAGCAGGCCGCCGTAGGTGCGGTCCGCGACGCTGACGAACAACGCCTCGTCGTCGGGGCTGAACGCGGCGCCGGCCACCTCCCCGAACAGCTCCACCTCCTGCTCGCGCCCGACGTACCCGGCCGCGGCGTCGTACACGTGCACGAAGTCGGCGGCCTCGGCCGCGTCCAGGAACCTGCCGCCGGGGGAGAACCGGAGGCCCCGGACGGCGCCGATCCGGCCTTTCAGGACCGCGAGCGGCTCCGAGAGGCTGCGCGCGTCCCACAGCCGGCACGTCCCGTCCTGGTTCCCCGTCGCCAGGACGCGGCCGTCGGCGTGCCACGCCGACGAGAAGGAGTAGTCCTGGTGCCCGCGCAGCGTCGCCATCGCTTTGCCCGACTGCGGGTCGGCGATCACGCACTCCGTGCTGTCGCCAAGGACAGCCAGCAGCTTGCCGTCGGGGCTCACCGACGTGCTCTGCATGCATATATAGCCAGTGTCAGGGATTCAGTACGCCATGAGAATGAGACTGACAGAACCGATCGACTGCTCCAGAGCACCGGCAGGGCACTCACGTTGACAGACCACGGGAAGGTGAACTGGGTGAGCAGGGTGTATCTCTCGGCGTCGAACGTTCTGACCACGCAGTCGTTGTTCGCCGCCATCACTCGAGTGGCACCGCTGCATCGTGGTTCATCATCAGAACATAATACAACAACTCAGTTAGTTTCGTACACTCCTTGCTCAGATCCAGAGGCTGCAAGCCTGAAATGACGGTCTCACTCGCTTACTTGGGTGCCTGGTAGATGTCGACGGCGTTCGTGGTGGAGTTGTCGTCGCCGGTCAGGTTCGTGCAGAATGCCACCCTGGGTTTATCAACATACTGATGAATAAGTAATGCGCAGGAGTGAGAGACATGTAAGCTGACAGAACTAAGGAAAACACTGACGAGTCTGCAGGCCACCCATCCTACCTTGCAGATGAGTTCTCCCTGGAAGCCGCCGGCCACCATGAGATTGTCCTTCACAGCCTATGGATGCTGATCTGAACCCTCGACAATGGTCTAGCCCCCTTCACATTCTGCGCAGCAGGTACCATTTGCAGGTTAGGAAAGTGAGGAGCAAGCTAATGAAGCAGCAATATGTCGTGGCACGAGTGCACGACGAGGAAGATGACGAAGGCCGCAGACCTGTGTCGGGGCCAATCGGCCGGCCACATTGAGCACCTCTCTTCCTCTCTGGAGCAGGGCAGACCAGTGCATCACAGAGTAGTTCTGCACCAGGTACACGTCGTGCTTCGAGGTAGGCCATAGGAGGTTCCTCAGCTGCAGGTGTTTGGAACACACGATTATTGCACTTGAAATACATGCTTCAGAGCAGTGGCGGAGCCAGGATTTATAGTCGAGGAGAGAATGCAGGAATTATATACAAATTAAGAGAGCTACAGGATGTGATAATTTATTATCTAGTTGTGTTTTGTATGATTTATTATCTAGAAGATATTAATAGATATATATGACAAGAATTTTATATAATCTTCCTCTTAATATAAATAAAAAATCAAGTTATACTACTAACAGCAAACATTGCCATGCCCTGACGCTGGCTGGCCAGTCTTAACAAATGCAGAGGATACAAATTAAGAGAGCTATAGGATGTGATGATGCAATGGCACTCGTTCTTTCACAGTAGTAACAAGAACATGTACTATTGTGATTCTATCCAAAACCATTCAATTATTCAACAGCAAATGCTGATGACGCTGGTGGGGTCTTAACAACTGCCGAGTGAGCTTGCACGGAGGCAAGAAATAAGACTGAACTTAAAACTCGACCTACAGGGGAGATTTTCCCCTGCACCCACGGAATTGCGTGTGATTCCACTAACGTACTAGTACACCTTACAATCCACAATCACTGCCCGAGCTAGTACGAAAAAAGTCCAGATTGTGACAAGTTTCACAGTTAAGTCTTACAGTGATGTTAGTCTTGGTTGCTAGCACTGTAATCATGGGCCATACATAGGCTCAAACTGAACTTTCAGTGTTCCGAAGTTCAGTTTCTACAATCTACAAATTGTAACTTTCTGTTGCGAAGGTCCGTGTTAACATTGCCATTCAGAACGGTTAGCCACACAATATCACCCCAACGGAGGACATGATATTCGATAACATACACCCCATAAACTTTAACAGACAGCATTAGTTTGAGAACAATTTCCATTAACATGAAAAGCAAATCAGACACAAAAAAGGAAACTCAAGGTGATCCATTTAACAGATTCGCCCACTGTAAAACGTCCTATCATACCATATTGCAAGTCTCCAACCCCTGTAGTCACTCTCCCGGCTGCTGAGGATGCTCATCCACCTGCTTATGGACCTAGTATCACAAGACTAATTGCAAATAGTGCAACCCAACTCGTCACATGACCTGCAATCAGTGTTATGTACACACACAGAAGCAGAACAATAGCAGCATCATTCAATGCAGATGAAATATGCTTAATGATTCGTATAAGTTGGTATGCAAAGCAGTACAAAAAAATTCCATGGTCCCATGGACAAGTTAGATTTAATATTTTAGGAGGAGTGTTTTATTCAATAGGTATAGGTAGTCGAACTTGTTGAACATGGAAGGTATAGGGGCACACAATGGCACAACATGTTCTAACTTTTAACCCTGTGCGCCCTTTGAATTCAGATACAGAAAACACACAAGAGCTAAATAGCAATGTGCTTCATGATGCAAACTGAACTAATCAACTGTGAAGCAACCCAAGATCAACACGGCGTTATGCATCTTGACATGCAACTCTTAAGTTTGAATTGTGTAACAGCCCACTGAGCCCATGACCAACGGAATGACTACTATCATGACAGTATTTTTGTCAGTGCAGACTTGAATACTTTTTTTTCTTTTAGAAAGGCGGCACAGGCTTGAATACTATGGGGTGAAAAGATGGTAAATTTGACTGTATTAATCAAATGGCACCTTCACATCCTCCCCCAAAAAATATATTCATGCTAGTGGCAGCATGGTAAGCATGCTGACTGTGTGAATGGAGAACTAGAGTAAAATTGTACCTGAAAATGCACTATTGTTGATTTGACAGCTCGCGTGCTCAAATAGAAATCATAGAAAATATCCTTCCTCTCCACTTGTTTGCATTCCTTCCATAAACAAAACAAACATATCAGGCATTACATAAACATAAAGTAGAGTTAATTGTATTTAACAAAAATTCCAGAAGTAGCGAGCATGAAAATGAAAATGGAAATGTGACAAAAGGATCTAACCTGTTCTAACCCGCTGCGCGACCTCGTGAGGTTCTTATAGTTCTTGTATTCTTTCAACCTCATCTGACGATACTGGTCCCTAGTGTAGTTCAGTCTTTCCCAGGGTATCCCTTGCATATCTTTCCCTTCTTTAAAGTCCAAGGCTGAAGTATCACCCATCTGCTCATGCTGCTGTAGAAAAAATATACACGAGTAAAATTCCATCACATGAGACTGAATGGACAATTTTAGACATTCATGTAGGTGGAACGTTAGTTTTTGAATTAAATTGTCTGAAAGACAGCACCACATCTCAGTCAATGAGTCTTCTGTATTTACCACCTGACTTGTTCACCTTAGAACCACGGACTTGATCTAGGGGCTAAAGTTTAGCCGTGTCACATCGGACGTTCGGACGCTAATTAGAAGGACTAAACATGAGCTAATTATAAAACTAATTAGCAAATATTTACTATAGCACTACATTGTCAAATCATGGACTAATTAGACTTAATAGATTCGTCTCGCAAATTAGTCTCGATCTGTGTAATTAGTTTTGTAATTAATCTATGTTTAATACTCCTAATTGGTATCAAAGATTCAATGTGACGGGGCTAAACTTTTGCCAAAGGAAATAAATACATACGTATAGTCTAGTACTATTGTGTAACAAGTAATACCTTGACCCATCTGATTTTTTGTACTCAAGTCAATCCAATAGACCTGATCTATGAGGACAAATCCAAGTATCCAATTCTCATTACCCCCGAGTCAATAACTTAGTAGAACTAAACTTCCTTTTTTTCACGGGGAAGAACTGAACTGAACTCTTTCTTATAGATAAGGAAAAAAAGATTCCACCAACCTATTGGGTTGTCTAGATAAACCCCTAGAATTTCTATTTAATTTAACCTGCTCCACAGGTCGTGCGCCATTCTAGACTAGTATCGATCGGCCCAGATCTTCGTGGGGTCTTGGTTCGATTTGTTGATCCGAGCGAGAGGAGAAGCAATCGCGAGGCGAAGACGAGGTCGGAGCTGCCGTGCCCACGGCGATCTATGTGTGGTGTTGCGCTGCGACTTTTTGTAGCAGAAATAGAGAGAGCGAGGATCAGCGTTGCAGAGGAGGGAGGTCCTCTGCTCTGGCGAATATATAGGCGCCGTCCGGTGTGACGTCGACGTGTGGGGGCCGGCCGACGTGGCTGTCGCGGGCAAGTCGCTTCGCGTTGCCGTCGGGTCGTGTCAGTGTCACCATCGATCACCGGACACCGCTGCCTCACCCTCACCGAGACAGAGGCCCCCGCCGGCCGGCCGCGCGCGCTCCTGTTCTCACGTGGGGCGGTGAGGGTCCCCGTTTGCATGGGTTCGTTACAGCAGCTGCCGCGGTGCACGTCCACGCGCCCCCTCCTGTGCGCTGCCCTCCCGCGTCTCCCCGACACGACACCCGCCTCGGCGTCAGTCAGTCCACGCCGCCGGCCAAGCGGAACGACCCAGATCTGGCATTTGGGCCGGGTCTCCGCTTTGCCTCAAACCGGTTTGATTTCTCCAGAGAACGGACTGAGAATGACAGCCGGTCGCACTTTTCAATTCTCGCAATATTACTAGAGCTCAGTGCCTGTCGATACACGTTGGAGTACATCCAAGCCTCAGTATCATAGACCTCTCAGAGCATTCTACGTCTTGGGTGCTGCTTGGATCAACAAAGGCAACGTTAACGTAAAAAATGAAACGGTTCCAGGGCAGCAACGGGAAGGAAATCGATTGTTTCCTTTTTTTTTGTTTGGTTCCGGGGGCAGTTTTCTTCTCGCCGCGATTATAGGGCGATAGCGCTTACCGTCCACATGCAACAAACAACAACACGCAACGCAATCCGTTGGTGGCGCAGTGATCGAACCAAACAACACCTTGGTTTGTCGATCACAACCCTCAACCAAGGGCCAGTTTGGATGCCAAAATTTTTAGCAAAACGTTACTGTAGCGTTTTGTTGTTATTTGATAATTAGTGTCCAATCATAGTCTAATTAGACTTAAAAGATTCGTCTCGTGGATTTCGTCTAAACTATATAATTAGTTTTATTTTTTATTTATATTTAATGCTTCATACATGCGTCCAAAGATTTTATGTGACGAAAAATCTTGAAAAAATTTTAACATTTTGGGTGCAACTAAATAGGGCCCAAACCCCGTAGATGTCTGAAACGACTCATTTCACTTGAGTATCCATCTTGTCAATTATATATTTATTCCAACTCTTTCCGCTCCACCACTGTTTTGTGATAAGTCTGTGGTAAGAAGTGGTAGTGCCTTCCAAAATTTCATATTATACGAGCTAAACATCACTATCTTCAATCAATAGAAATAATCTAAATAATGGACTGCCAAATCCACATCCAAATGGCCTACCTGTGCGATTTAAAAAAAAAAAAAAACTTCCAGCATCCTATATATGCTTTGTGTCGGCACATGCCGCAGCCCGCGACTCAGCAAAGCTTCCCGGACGCGTGGCTGCGAGCCGTGCTCTTCTCTCTCCACCTGTTGTCTCTCCTGGACGACGTGGACGTCGCGGTCGGATGCGAATGGCCGGATGCAACGTAGCCGTCGCACGTACCGGACGCCGTCGACCGTCGTCGGCAAGGCACATGCGAGGTACGTGCCCGGTGCAGGCGCGGCGGCAGCGAGCCATGGCCCATTGCCATTGCCATCCAGGCGGTGAAAGGAGCGGCGGCCCCACACGGAGATGGGCTGGATTGCTGGAATGGGACGTCGCGTTTATGTGGCGGATCCCTGGTTAACCGACGGTTTGTCCGGTACTTGGGGCTAAATCAATTCGCGTCGCCGTCGCCCGTCGGGGCGTCCGGGAAGCGGCGGCGGACGCGACCCAGCCCGGCCGGTTCGTTTTTAACCTAAATTAATTTTGGTCGGCTTGACCGCAGGCGGTCGGTTCGCCCACGGAGTAACGCGCAGCTTGACGAGTCATGATAGAGACTGTGTTTATGGATAACAGAGGTTTGGAAAACTGCAAATCGTTTGCAGAGCATACGTACGCACGTGTTACTTCTTGCTGACTGGTGCAGCGTCCGCCGCCGTCCGCGGACGGGCTCCAGCGCGCTCAACTGCCCACCTGATCATGAGCACGTAACCAGTAAGGTCCTAACCTGTCACCACTCACGCCACCTGTCATGCATCACCTTTTTTTTTCCTTCTCTCTTCCATATTATCCCAACTGTCATAGGATTTGGTGTTTTAGTAAAAAGAATCAAGCAAGCTGCACTATTGGTGAGGGTGAGGATACTTTTCTTTGCACGGTACTCTTTCCATCTTAAATTAAAATAAATATCATTTAAAAGTTTAAAAATTATCTTAAAAGATGACATTATACAATAAATATGAAACATTGTCTTCTAATGTACTAGAAACTAATCACGGATATATGTAATGGGTAAGTGCCAAATCCAAGAGATATCCTCAAGTCTAGAAAGAAAAAGAAGATGAGAATACTTTTTAAAGAAAAATATTTACTTTGGGGGTGGATGAAGTATATCCCATGCAGTTGTACGAATCCGATCGATCAGACAGAAGGACACCCAGGCCTTGTTCGCTTGGAGGAATTTAGAGGAATCTGGATGGTTTTGGATGAATCTGGAGGAATTTATGAGAGAAAAACACTGTTCCGGATGAAAAAAGAAGCGGATCAAGCCAGATTTAAGGACACGCGAACGGGGCCTCACATAAGCTTGGGTTTCAGTGGAGCAAGACGCGGGCCCATTTTTGGCACGGGGCCATGGGACAAGAGAGAAGTCAGGGTGGCCTATGCTAACCACCCGTCATTAGGCTGGAAGTAGTGAAGAAAACGGTCAAGAACGGTCGGAAAACACCTCTGACCACTTTTGATTTAATATTTTTAATCAAAAACGGAATTGGGAAAGCTAGTCGAGAAAACAGAAACGGGTATACAGGGAAATGAAAAATGGAACAATCGGATGAAAAATGGTAAACAACATTGAATTAAACCGCTTCAAATGTTCTGACTCAGTACAAAGGATAAATACGTAATAAATACATTGCACCAATGTACTATAGATAGGTAGACAACACTATGAACCAACTAGGTCAGGGAATGCTGTTCTTTTAATCGTCACAGCGTAGGAAAAACAAAAAGTATAAAATTGCAATGGGAAAAGAAAATGGAAAAGAAAAACAAACGAAAGAAACGGTCAAACCTGATGCAGCTACAGAGTCACAGAGATGCTCCTGTGCTGTGCTATTCATTTCATGGGTCGAACCATGCCACGGCCCACATGACGCTACTGGCTTTTGCTATGCGTGTGGCAGATATGTGCTGCCGAGCGGCGAGCGCACAGCTTCAACGCAAACGTTACTACCACCTTGCAAAGTGAAGGCAGCTCACACGTGCTGGCGCAGTACCCAGATTCCTCTTGCAGTAACGAGGCAGCATCTGATGTGAAAAAGGGGATGCTGGCTTGAATTACCGTATGAAATACTGGAACCGGCTTACCAACCGTTTGGATTTAGTCGGACGATAGAGGAGCAGTTTTTTCACCCTTTTCTTGTGCAGTGCAGGCTGCAGAAACAAGCGATACGATCGCTGTGAGCCCAGCGATACAGGCCCAAAAGTTGATTTCGGCCTGCGATGTTGTACGGATTTTCTGTCTAGATTTTCCATCTGTTCGTCAAAATACTCCGAACCGCAATGAGGAAACTTTTGTTCCCCGCACAAACCCTGCCGCTCCGCTCACGGTCCTTTTGGTTTCTGAGTATGGCCCAATAAGCCAATGATACAAGTTTCAGCCCAGCGGACGCAAATACGCCAGATGCTCATTGGCAGGCGGCGAATCGCAGCCCATGGCTTGTCAAGACTCAAAACCGATAACCGGAATACCGGATCAATGGAAGCACGGGGGGAATCAGCTGAATATAGAACACCACCACCTCAATCAACAACATTATCTCATGAACAGGGTAACTGAACTAACGCGCAGCTCCACAAAGGTAAATTAATCGTCATACATACACCATGTTCGCTTGATCGTTTCTGTGGCTTATAAGGCGGCTGATGCTGTTTTGTTATGAGAGAAAAACACTGTATCATAACTAATAAGCATGGCTAATACGATCAAGCGAACAAGGTGATAGTCATCACTCAGCCTGGACGGCATAGCA